CCGAAGTACCCTTGCGGCGGGGGCCACTCTGAACCCCCTTAGCCTTCTTCTCGGGCGCTGTATAGGGCGCCGATACCAGCATCTTCGCTAGACGCGGGATGACTAGTTCCTCAGGTAGCGGAGCCGGACACCGAATCTGCTTCGCCCTCTCCATCCATTCCTAAATAAGCAATGACAATAAAAGTTCAGATGTCTTCCTTGAAACAAGCAAGTAGAGGATGCTTTAAAGATTTACCTTGCTGGTGGGGTGATTAATGTTGTACCCGCGGTCCGATTATGTGGCTGGTGGTATCACGTTGCCCTTGAAGAGCAACTTTCAGGCATCTTCGTGAGTTGTTTCTAAGAGCCTCTCCAGGGTTTGGTGCTTCTTCGGATTAAACTCCCATAGAGGGTGGCTTCGTCTTTGGCAGGGGAGGATCCGGCGAACCAGTATCACTTGGATTACGTCGACGAGCTTTATGTCTTTATCCACCATGCTTTGAACGCACGTTTGCAGCGCTATCAGCTCGTCTGACGAAGACCAATTTGGGCTCTTCTCAACCCAGCAGGTGAGTCGCATTGGAGCGCCGGAGTTGAATTCGGCAGCCGCGGCCCAGGTGGCATCGCGGGGTTCTGTGATGTAGAACCACATTTTCTGCCATTCCTTGATAGTCTCGACAAAAGTGCCTTTTGGCTAGGAGACATTAGTCAGCTTGCTCACCATGGCGCCTCCGCACTCCGCGTGTTGGCCATCCACCACCTTCGGCTTCACGTTGAAGACCTTGATCCGCAGCCCAAAGTGGGGTTGGATGCGGAGGAAGGCCTCACACACGATGATGAACGCCGAAATGTTGAGGAAAGAATTCGGGGGTAGATCATGGAAGTCTAGCCCATAATAGAACATCAGCCCGCGGACGAAAGGGTGGAGTGGAAACCCTAGCCCGGGGAGGAAATGAGGGATGAATACTACCCTCTCATTGGGCTTCGGTGTGGGGACAATTTGCCCCTTGGCTGGAAGACGGTGGGCGATTTCCTTCGCCAGATATCCGGCTGCCCGAAGCTCAGTAATGTCCTTCTCCTTGATGGAGGAGGCCATCCACTTGCCTTGACCTCCGGATCCGGACATGGTTGAGTGCTTGCTCGAGTGGGGAAAGATGAGAACTTGGGCGCTAGAGCTCAAGAGTGGAAGGGCAGAGGAAGAGATAAGGCATGGGAGAAGAAGGGTAATCCTTATCCCCTTATAAAGGCAGTGAATATTGAACGCCTCCCCACTCGCCCTAAAACTCGCCTATTCCCATGGGCTGTGTAAACGGCACGGTTGGGTTACCCACGTCCGTATTGATGAGAATCCCGCAATACGGGGACACGATCTCTGCTTTGGCAAGACGTGCCAATGGAAACCGATCTTGAAATGCGGGACAATAGACAAAAACGGTTCGATATAATGACCGGATAGACGTGATGTCATCTTACAAAAAGTTGTCAGCAGATGGTACTCGTGAAGTATTATATTCTCTGCAGTCGTATATGGTGCTTGTATTGCAGATCCGAACACATTCATTTTGTCCGAAGACTATCTTGGAGTATCCGGAGAGGGGAACCCGCCTTGCAATGTCGAAGACAATCTGCGCGCCAGACACCTCGTCATTGAAGCCTGGTTCAGGGACTACTGAGGGAGTCATGGACTAAGGGGTCCTCGGGCGTCTGACCTATTGATATGGGTCGGACTGATGGGCCGTGAAGGTACGAAGACCGAAGACTCTACCCGTGTCCAGATGGGACTCTCCTTGGCGTGGAAGGCAAGCTTGACGACCAAATATGAATACTCCTTTCTCTGTAACCGACCTTGTGTAACCCTAGATCCCTCTTGTGCCTATATAAACCAGAGGGTTAGGTCCGTAGAGATATACTCTTCATAATCATAGTCTGGCTAGACTTTTAGGGTTTAGTCATTACGATCTCATGGTAGATCAACTCTTGTAACACTCGTATTCATCAAGATCAATCAAGCAGGAAGTAGGGTATTACCTCCATAGAGAGGGCCAGAACCTGGGTAAACATTGTGTCCCTGTTCCTGTTACCATCGATCCTAGACGCACAGTTCGGGACCCCCTACCCGAGATCCGCCGGTTTTGACACCGACATCGACCATGCTCTTTATGCGCGTTTGCAGCGCTATCAGCTCGTCCGACGAGGCCCAGTCTAGGCCCTTCTCTAGCCAGGAGGTGAGCCGCATTGGGGCCCCGGGCCTGAACTCGGGGGCTTCGGCCCAGGTGGTGTCGTGGGCCTCTGTGACATAGAACCACTGTTTTTGCCACCCTTTGACGGTCTCCACGAAAGTGCCTTTGGGCCACACGACATTAGGCATCCTTCTCACCATGGCGCCTCCGCACTCGGCGTGTTGGACGTCTACCACCTTCGGCTTCACATTGAAGATCTTCAGCCACAATCCGAAGTGGGTGAGATGCGGAGGAAGGCCTCGCACACGACAATAAATGCCGAGATATTGAGGAAGGAGTTGGGGGCCAGATCGTGAAAATCCACCCCATAATAGAACATAAGTCCCCGGACGAATGGGTGGAGTGGAAACCCCAGCCTGCGGACGAAGTGGGGGATGAAAACTACCCTCTCGTGGGGCTCCGGGGTCGGTACGATCTGTCCCTCGGACGGAAGCCGATGAGCGACTTCCTTGGCCAAATATCCGGCCTCCCGGAGCTGTGTGAGGTCCTTCTCCTTGACAGAGGACACCATCCACTTGCCTTGCGCTCCAGATCTGGACATGACTGGAGTGCTGTTTGGAGGCGGAAAGGATGAGGACTTGGGCGTTGGAGCTCGAGAACTGATGGGCAGAGAGAGAGAGAAAGAGAGAAGGCGTGGGTGAAAGGGGGTGAGTCCTTATCCCTTTATAAAGGCAGCGAATATCAAGCGCCTCCCCACTAGCCTTAAAACTCGCCTGTTTCCCAAGGGCTGTGCAGGCGGCACGGTTGGATTACCCACGCCCATATTGATGAGAATCCCATAATAAGAGGACACGATCTCTGCTTTGACAAGACGTGCCAATAAAACCGCATCTCGAAATATGAAGCGGCAGGCCGAAAAATGGTTCGATAATGACCAGGTGGTGATGTGGTGTCCCGCTACAAAAAGTTGTCAGCGGATTGGACTCATGAAATATTATACTCTCTGCGGTTGTGTGTGGTGCTTGTTTTGCATAACCGGACGCGTTCTTTGTGTTCGAAAGTTGTTTTGAAATATTCAGAGGAGGAACCCGCCTTGCAATGCCGAAGACAATTTGCGCGCGGGACACCTCGTCATTGAGTTCTGGTTCAGGGGCTACTGAGGGAGTCCTGTACTAAGGGGTCCTCGGGCGTCCGGCCTGTTGGACATGGGCCGGCCTGTTGGACATGGGCCGGCCTGTTGGGCTATGAAGATACAAGACTAAAGATTCCCTCACCTGTGTCCAGATGGGACTCTCCTTGGCGTGGATGGAAAGCTTGGCGTTCGGATATGAAGATTCCTTTCTCTGTAACCGACTTTGTACAACCCTAGTCCCCTCCGGTGTCTATATAAACCGGAGGGTTTAGTCCGTAGAGGCAATCATAATCAGATAGGCTAGACTTCTAGGGTTTTAGCCATTACGATCTTGTGGTAGATCAACTCTTGTAACCCCCATACTCGTCAATATTAATCAAGCAGGACGTATGGTATTACCTCCAACGACAGGGCCTGAACCTGGGTAAAACTTCGTGTCCCTTGTCTCCTGTTACCATCAACCTCAGACGCACAGTTCGGGACCCCCTACCCGAGATCCGCCGGTTTTGACACCGACAGCAACCCCGACTCAGTCTTCGGCCGGACGAGGCGGAAGTAACAAGGGGAGGGGCGGCCGCCCTCGTTAATAGGGAGGGCGCCGCTGCGGATGCGGCGTCTCCTGCGGCTCCGGCTTGACGGGGCGGAGTGCCGGCGACCCGGAGGAGAGCGAACTGGAACCCGACGACGAGGAGGTCGTCGCGTCCATTCGTCATGGCGTCCAGGAACTACCGCGACGGCGAGAGAATGGCGGGGGCGCCGGGTACTCGAGGGGCGGCGTGTTGCCGGTTTTGATGTGGTCGAGGACGGCTTCGAGGGTGCGGCCGGGCACGCCCCACCATTCGCGCGGCCCGTCGGCGTTGAGTTGGCCGCGGGGGATGGCGCCTTTTGCGGAGGCGGCCTGGTCGGCGTGGCGGTGGTTGAAGTACATCGTCCATAGCGTGTGGCTGTCGTCGACGTACCTCGGCTCGTCTCGCTCCGCCTCCGACATCGACGAACGGATGCGCACGATCTCGGCGCGCCGTTCAGCCCCGGTGGGCACCGGGGGCACCGGAACACCACCGACGCTCAGCCTTCATGAGCCTGGCACCCGCATGTCTGGGGGCGCCGGGTAGTCGGCCTCCTAGAGGAGGCATTCACCGGCAGGGAGGTCGTCTTTTATAGCCGAAGCGGGAGGGTGAGAAGCTGCATGTCGCTGACTCGGCGGGCCCATTCCCGTTCACGCCAAATTCAGTTTCCCCGGCGCCCCCAAACGCCCCCGCAACACGCCAGGTTCGGCCTGGGTCTATCGGCATCAGGTCTAACCGGCGAAAAACCAGATGCTGCTTGCAGAGGAAAGCGGGTGCTTGCAGAGGAGACTGCCTCCTCCTTGACACAAAAGCGAAGTACAGGGAAATGCAAGAGAGAGCAAGGGAAAAGAAAGAAAGATGAGCAGCGCTGTGGTTCAGTAAAGCAAGAGAGAGAAGTACACAAAGAGGGAGAAGATGGGCCCGCTGAGGCTATCATGCATTGGGTACTATAAAATGTCTGGGACGGTAGTTTCACTACCATATATCTACGTGTAGTTGTTGGGGCAGCAGTAAGGTGCTGCCCCCGTTGTACATGCCCTGAATGCTGTTACGTGGCCCGGATAGCTTTTCTTGCGTCAGTGTCTCGCCTGTTCACCATCCCTCACGCTGCAGCCGTCTCCCCTCTGCCGCCGCCATCTCCTCATGCGGCCAGCGCCGGTATTCGCCAGCGGCGGCAGGACGCTCGGAAACATTCTCTCCGCCACGGAGTGGATGCTTCCCTCCCCGGCCACCCAAGTCCACACAATCTCCGTCCTCCCATCCCACTCACCGTCTCATGCTCCCCACTTCACCTTCTCCAATCTCACCACCGCGTTGAAGACCGCCGGCGCTAAAGGGGACGAGCAGGGGACCCCGAGATTCGACGTGGTGCGGGACGACCTCCTCCATCCCCTCGCCAACGGTAACAAGGCCCGGAAGCTCGACGCCCTCCTGCCGCTCATCCGCCGCCGCGGTGCCACCGACGTGGTCGTCATCCACCGCCACATTCTGCTCCTCTCAACACCTAGTTTTCTTTCCTGACGACATCGCATTGATCCGATTGCAGATAACATGCGGGGGTTGCCAGAGCGCCCATGCGGCAGCCGTCGGTGAGATATGGATCCATGTAAATTTGCTTTTTTTACTTAAGCTTTGTCTGAAACATAAATGATATAGATGCTTTGTGCCCATGTAAATTCGGCTGTTCGATTTCTGTGTGATGTAATTTGGTGTCATGTCTCACTTGATATGCTTGACTGTAAATTTCACATCAATCACAAGGTTTTCCCTTCCTGTGTCAGCGGTCCATTGTGCAGAATGGGGAATCAGGCCACACCTACTGCTGAGAGGAGAGCAGCTAGATGTGCCGACAGGCTACAATTTGATCTCTTTGATGTTTGGCAACGTGACCTATGCATCTCGGTCGGTCTATGCACACCGAGATGAGATGCTTTATGAGCATGCCAAGAAGGTTGCCGGTACCAGCGGTTTGGTGCTGTGGGCTGATGATATCATCAGAGATGATTTAAGTGTGGATGAAGAGACTGTTCTTGAAAACGATTCCAGAAGGGTGGTGATTATTAAGGAAGGGGCTGGTACTGTTCAAGCGTTACTAGGTAAATAGTGGATTTGTGTTGTGCTCTGATTCGTTACTTTCATCATTACAGATACTTTTTCGAGGACAGAGCAACTTAATGCAGTCATCTTCTCATGCATTCTTTTCTTATACTTTAGCTATCTGATTGGGACTGAACGTTTGCACTCTGAGCTTTAGGGTCATGTCATCCAGTTCTGGTCCTAGAACGTTGATTGTTTGTGTCGAAAGAAACCTTTTATTAATCCCTACAGAAACGAGATCATTGCAAAATTTCACACAATCTCATTGGTTTTTCAGGTGTTATGCGACTGGTGGAGCACCTCTCTAGTTTGTCATCGTTTCATAATGATGAAGAAGTCCATGTTGTGGTGGATGCTGGGACAGGCACAACAGCTGTTGGGTTAGCTCTTGGAGCGGTATGTCTAGGGTGCGTTCAATAATTGGAACTAATACTTGAACATACTGAGTTGCATCATGCAGGAATGAATAAAAATCATCCTGTCAAATTTTGTAGACGGTGGTAAAAGAAGATGTTGTATCATCTTAATCCATGTTTGTTGGTGATACTTCTGCCATAAAATTATCATCTCAAATGTCTAGAGCACAACAGTGAAATTAGGAATTTAATTTAATCCAGCAAAGAAAGAGGGACGCGAAGAATGCATTTGCAATGCGTGTTCTGCAATCTAACATGGTTAAGCCGGACCAAGTTACCTGTCAGCAGAAATAAGAAAATCATGACAGCTCGGGATGTTTATCTTTATTCCCTGTGTTACTTGAGGATTGCTCTTTGCATGCATCTTAGCTAGATCACATTTTGATCATTGACGTCCTTGCAGACTTAATTGGAGGGTTACTGCTGTCATGCTTGCTGATACATTTGAAAGATATAAAGAACAGGAGAAGTCCCTGATATCTGATTTTAAGGGGCTTTGCCATGAAGACTGCCATGAGTTGGTCGGAACAGACGGTCTGGTTCATTGGGTGGACCGCTTTTCGCCGAGAAGGTACTGCCTGCGTCATGTTTCATATCTTATGTAATCTTAATTCCAGCATCATTTGCTACCTAAACATAAGTAGGTTCATTGTTTTCCAATCCGAGGTCATATGTGTTTACTTTTTTTTTTTGAACCGGGCGAATCCCCTTTCCATTACTTGAACATAACAGAAATACAACCAAGTTCAGCAAATAGGATGGGAAAGAGGAAAGCAGGTTCAAGCATCGCCGGGAAACCCACCATGAGCACTCGCCATCGAGATTACTCACCATGGGGCGAAAACCCGACGACACCTTAAGTCCAGGACCCCAACATCTAACTCACAGTTTTTAACAGAAGGCCACTACTCAAATCAGAGCAACATGCTCCACAGCAACCTCACGCAGGAGGTATCTCGAATCAAAAGCGATAAAGCAGAAGTCGCAGCAGATCATATGTGTTTACTGTTTCTGTGATTAGTATCTTGATGAATGTGATTGCAGATATCTGACTTTTTCTCCAACTTTAACTGATAATTCTTTCCCCCGGTTAGTATCTTGATGAATGTGATTGCGGATTCTGACTTTTTCTCAACCTTTAACTGATAGTATATCATGTCCATGATTCCTGTCGGCCAGCATTTCAGCCCTTTCCATATCTTTAGAGTCTTATATTGTCAAGACTTCCCACTCTTAACTACTTTTGTGCTCGTTTTTTACCTTCCTTTCTTCAGATTCGGCAAGGTGCTGGGTGGCGAAATCGCGTCGTGCCGGCAGGTGGCTCAGCAAACAGGCATCCTGCTGGATCCCGTGTACACCCTGGCCGCCTGGGAGCAGGCCGTGGATCTGTGCCGCGGAGACGGCAGAGGGGCCAAAGTGGCCATGATCCACACCGGCGGAACCCTCGGCCTGTTCGGACTGGCGCAAAGGTATCCCCAGCACTTCTCGGCGACCGCGAACGGGCAAGCTTGAGCAGGCCAATATGTGTAGCACCGGCGAGGGTCACGCACTTGATCCGGGCTAGGGCCAACACGTGTAAGTTCGGACTGCGTTGCATGCTCTTGCTGTCAACCGGGGTAATTGCACGGGTGAAACTTGTATTACTCATCTAGGTTAGCGATAGCCTAGCTAAGTTTGCTCGTAGTGAAGGTAAAACTATGACCAAGGTTGGTTTTGGCCCAGTAGATACAACAAAGATAGCTATTCCTGATTATATGAATTTTATGAATTAAGTAATACATTATTTCACCGGCATCGGCAAAAATAATTTGTCGTGCCAGAAGCATGGATAGTGTCTGCCGAGCAAAAAGAAATGACTGACCACCGGAGACGGAGAGCAAAGCAAGACACTCGGCGCGATCATAATAAAAAGATCTAGGAACCTAAGTTCGTTGCAATGGCAATCAGAGCTTTATAATTAGTTGCTAAATATACTATGGCGGGCGATGCAAAAAAGACGATCAAGCGACATGGCTGGAAAAGATCAAAGAACAACTATGTGAAGGTAAACATGGATGAGGCTTTTGACTCAGACTTGCTCAAGGCTCGTATAGCGCTGTCATTAATGAGTCAAATGGCTCGTATAGCGCTGTCATTAATGAGTCAAATGGCAGATTCATCATGGCAGGAAACAGGAAAATCGTTTGGTATGGAGGTACGCTTATGGTTCCTTACAGTTTGGTCTTAATTTGGCAATTACCATCAGGGTGTAACTGCGTAGAGGTGAACTCCGATAACACCGAGGTGATAGAGACAATGAAGAATGAAGGTCGCTCTTAGTTTTTGATGATATATATCATCTTGAGCGTGATTTTCCACATATTATTTTTTAGCGTGCTTCTAGATAGACTAATTGTGTTGCCAATGATTTAGTCAAATTAGTTAGACGTAAATATGTGCGGAGTGGATGAAAGATTCACCCGAACAGATTGTTGACACTCTCGTACTTCCTCCATTCCTAATATGAGTTTTTTTTGGAGATTTTAATATGAATTACATACAGATGTATATAGACGTATTTTTTAAAGTAATAAATTTATTTATTTTATTTCGTACGTAGTTTATATTAGAACGGAGGGAGTAAAAGATAAAAGATAATACTCTGATGTAAAGAAAACACGCGGCGCTACGTGCCGTACCGCAGGACGCGCGTCACACCCTCGTCCTCTCTAAAACCAGCGCAGCATCCCTAGTCGGGGGCAGTCCCGCGGCAGAAAATAAAATAAAAACTAAAAACCGGATAAATCAAGATCGGCGCGCGATCGCCGGCCGCCACACGCGTCTCACGCACGCACGCACCTATGGCCGCGGCGGCGCAGGGCGAAGCGAGCACGGGCGCCACGACGACGGCGACGTTCCGGCGCGTGTACGAGACCCTCAAGGCCGAGCTTCTCCGGGACGGCTACTTCCACTTCAACGACGACGCCCTCCGATGGCTCGACGCCGTCAGTGCTACTGCCTCTCTCCAATCCCCCCTCTCTATTAGTCACGGTTAATCCTACTACGTACATGTTTGCTAAAAAATCCATGATCCTTTTTGTCCGAGCAGATGTTGGACTATAACGTGCTTGGCGGTGAGCAAACATTTCCATTTTGAGACGAAGGGAGTCAAATTATTATGGCACACTGTTTTTGACCGTCAAATTATTAGATTCATGCTCCGACCAGTTGCTCCACAAGTCTAAACTGATGGAGAGAGCCGGGCAATATATTTCAACACAAACTAATGACTTGGATCTGCCCATGTGCAGGAAAGCTGAACCGTGGCTTGGCCGTCGTCGAGAGCTACAAATCGTTGAAAGCAGGATCTGAACCGAGCGAGGAGGAGGAGTTCCTTGCTTGCGTTCTTGGCTGGGGCATTGAATGGGTATTGCCATCGATGCTTCTGTCATTTAGTGATTTGATTCGAGTTTTTTTGGAACCATGGTACCAGGTGTAATTCTTATGATTGTTCTTGGGGTAATGCGCAGCTTCAGGCTTATTTCCTCATCCTTGATGATATTATGGATAATTCTCAAACTAGGCGAGGAAAACCATGTTGGTATAGGCTTCCGAAGGTTTGTCAAGCACCTCTTTGCTTTGTCTGGATAATTCCCAAACTAGTTATAACCCTTAATTAGTAGGCTTCTAGAAAACAATTTTAGATTGGGCTGCCAGAGTAAGCTGGGCAGGGGGAAGCTTATTTTGACAGCCACCCATAAGCCCCCCAAAAGAACTGGTCCTAAATGTTCTTACTGTTTATTAGAGATCTTGCATTGTACGTATTACTTTTAACTAATTCAGGACTTGAGTAAATAGTCGTGACTCAACTCCAATATCACAGGACGAAGTCGGTCACTAGCTAGATAACAGATACTATCATGGCCTTGACTTCCTTATGTAAATAGACAGATTATTATTGGTGCTCTCTCCGTCCGGAATTACTTGTCGGAGAAATGGATGTATCTAGACGTATTTTAGTTCCAGATACATCCATTTTTATCCTTTGGTTAGCAGAAGAAACTATTATATCATTATTTGGGTTTAATCCCTTGGTTGACTTTTATGATTTGTTACAGTCTCGTAGTTTTGTCTTTTTTACCTTGAGCAGGTTGGCCTCATTGCTATAAATGATGGACTTCTCCTTCGCAGCCAAATATCACGGATCTTCAAGCGTTATTTTTACGGGAAACCTTACTATGTTGATCTCCTAGACTTATTCAATGAGGTAATTCGATGCATCCAAAAAAGTCCCATTATATATCCTCTTTTTGTTGCAGGAGCTTGATTCCGTTACTGCTCATCTAGGTCGAGTTCAAGACGACTTCTGGCGAGTTGTTAGACCAAATTACAACAAGTGAAGGGCAGAAAGATCTGAGCAAATATACTGTAGATGTGTATGCCATCACCACCTGATTATGAACTTCGATGATGTTATTTTGTTCATGCTACCTTGAGAACAATAATTTGTCACTACGTATTTTATTGTTTTTCATGCTAACGGGGGATGTTTTAATTTTTATGCAGTTACAGGCGCATTGTAGAATACAAAACAGCTTACTATTCATTCTATTTGCCGGTAAAAGAGAATGTTCGTTTTACATATTCTGGCAGCACTAGTTTTGATTCACCAGCAGTAAAATTCCTTTTAACCTATTGGCTATTGCAAAGGTTGGTTGTGCACTGCTACTGTCCGGTAGGAATTTAGATGATTATGTTCAAGTGAAGCACATCCTAGTTGAAATGGGTGTTTACTTTCAAAGTCAGGTATACTACTCATGGTACATTTATCTTGTCACCTGAATATCTATTTTCTTCTCGATATTTATGTTTTCAGAAGTGGTGTTAATAGCCAGATTCCCCTTTCAGGACGATTATCTTGACTGTTTTGGTGATCCAGAAGTTATGGGCAAGGTAAGTTGTTTCACTTCCTCTATTATTGCAGAAGAAATTTTTTGCATTTGATTTGTGAAACCATCCTGTCGCAGGTTGGAACCGATATTGAAGACTTCAAGTGCTCTTGGCTGTTTGTTCAAGCACTAGTACGTGTCGATGAGAGGCAAAAAGACATCCTATTTGTAAGGCACATGAACTGGATCATTCTATAATATTGTGTAGCACACCATCTTAATGTCTATAATGTCATGCACAGGAAAATTACGGGAAGTCAGATCCTGCTTGCGTCGCAAAAGTGAAGGCTCTGTATAAAGAGCTCAATCTCGAGGTTTCCCTTTTTGTTCAACATCAGTGTGACATGTCTTGTTAATTGCATAAGTACTTTTTTACTATTAAGTTCATCTACAATGCGTGACATGCCTTTTATCATCGGTTCCAGAGGGTGTTCTCTGAGTATGAAAGTGAGACTTATGAAAAGCTGATCTCAGACATCGAAGCGCAGCCAAATGAAGCTGTACAAGCAGTGTTGAAATCCTTTTTGCATAAAATCTACAGGAGGAGGAAATAGGACTATTCTTGCATACAAAAAGATTGTCGGATGGAACAACTTCTTTCCTGTCGGCATGTGCAAGATGAATAACACTCCCTTCTTCCCAAAATAACTGTCGTTGTTTCAGTTCAAATTACAGAGGGAGTATTACTTATGAATGGTCCAGAGTTTTTGCATACCATGTAAAAGTATTAAATAAAATGTACTTCCTTTCTGTTTTGTTCTTCTATTTGTATGTATAAGATCATTTACACACAGTTATTGTTGTACTTTTCCTACTCTGGTATTAAACCATTGCGACAAATTCGCCTTTCTATTTGTATGCTTCATTATTTGTCACGGATGGAGCCGTTGACACTGCATCCCAGCCTCAGTCTGTCAATCGGAGATTGCACTCCGATGCTATTACCGTGCTTGAACAATGATGCTCTGTACAATGGCCTACTCTGCTCAGATGATCTATACACAATCTAAATCCTAGCAGTAAACTATGATACTCCATCGCTGAGTAGCTTCAGCAGTTCAGCTGCAAATGCTGCTGCAACCAAAGAAGCTGGACCTGGCTATGAACTGATCCGCCCACACGAAAAAATATAGCTCGTATACAAAAGAATCTGTTAGAAGTTAACCAGTAGTTGAGCAGATTTTAGCAGACCAAAAGCACCATCCTCCAACAGATGCATCGCGGCGCCGTATGAGAACTTTCTGGCAAATAAGAAACATGGTACAGATGTGCCATTGGATTGGCACCACTCAGTCCTGTGTTCCACCTCATAGTTCACATGATCGATTCTCTGCAAAATTATTCAGAACTTAGCGTCACGATATTAACTAAATGATAAACCGCTTACAATGGAGGTCTTCTCATATTATTGCTACTTTATTATATAACAGAATGTGCACAACCAAAAAAAAAAGGGTAAGCCATCTGCAAGATATATTTTCCTCCATGTACATAATGGTCAACAAGATATACCATGCAGACACGAATACTGAGCAGATTGTTTCTTTGTTCTGAATAAATGGAAAATGGTGTTCTGCAGATTCCACTATCTCGTTTGATGACCAGGATATCTAGGATATAACTGGAGCTTGCTATTGGCCAGCCAAATTTTGAGGCAAAAGGACAAAAGATCAATACATCACTTTCAAGTCTCTCGATGTTCAGTGTTCACCGTTTCACACACTAGTGCCAAGAGATGAAATATGCAAACCAAAATAAGAAGATATTACCTTTATAGCATTGATCTGCTCAGGACTTGCTGCGTCATATTCAAATGTCGTTGGATGCCAAGTCATTTTATCTTTAGGATCTAAAGTTGACTGGTTCCATGATGTATAGGTCAAAGTTCTTCTTTCAAGTTCATCTTCCAGTCCTTTGATCTAGAATTTGAAAGAGTGGGCCCCTCAGCATGACTTGAAAGAATAATTACATCAGTTCAAAATCCAAAATATTTGTCAACAATAACAAGCCTTACAGAAAATAATGTCTGCACATAGTGTTCATCCGGAATACAATCATGCTCCTCCTGGGCAGCTCCTTTCTGCAAGGTTCAAGACAAAGATCATTTATGAAGAAGAGAACAAGAGGTCTTTATGCTTGTAAGCAAGAATTAGAAAGAACAATTTTTCAGAAATTATATGCACAAGTCTGACAATCTATATAAACTTCCCTGTGAGTACGGAGGGAATGTGGAGAACTGAACCTTACCGATATCTGCTTTCGCCGAAATACAAATCCTAGTCGTCTCTGAAAGAGAGAAAAAATGATGTCATAAGATTAACAGTCAGATATATAAAGGTAAAGAAAATTAAATTTCAGGGATCAGTATTATTGTTTGGTGAATGAATAATCACTGTTGAGCAGGGGATACAAATTGAAATGCATATTTGATTGTTGATGATCCAAGGAAACAAGCGTTCACCACATATAAAACTAAAAAAATAGCAAATTATACTCAGAACGGGTATTTACATCACTAAAATTGTAGAAGGACTTTGGAAGTAGTACAGAACCAAAGTAGTTTATTTGTTTTTGCCTACCATACAACGGGTGCAACTTTATCTAGGAAAGGCATTGATAATTATCTTCTCCCTTCATTTTAAACGTTAATAGATGTCATGTGGGAGAAAAATGAAGCAATTCATGCATAATTGGAAACCATCGATATATTTAAGTTGTTACAATGACACTTTCGAAACAACAATTTCCTAGGAAGAGCAAAACAACAGCTATTAAATGCAACCTTTTGGCTTAAAACTACATATGGAGCTTGTCTGAGTAAACTGCATAGCAACCTCCTAAATTAAATACTTACAGCATTCGCCGGCTTTTGTCCAAGCAAAGCATTGGTCACAACCATCTGCAATTATTAGGTAAAACCAAACACAATCATTACTGTGATGTGCACAAAAGCGTCACGGATCAGTAGGCTATATTAAAACAAGATATCTCATCTCTTATTGTAAATAACTGCATAATTCAGTATAAGCTAGTTTAAGCACGTTTGTATAGTGTCTCACAACATCAATGGATGGGAGTCGGATAATAATTTAACAGATTCAGAATCAATTTGCATCGGTCATGCATATATGCTAAAGATAAACATTGCTGCTGATCAAATGTAAATGTGGACAAGACCTTTAGTTCGGATAGATATGATATAGCATCTATCTGAATCAGTACAGTAGTTACAGCTGAAAAAGCATGCTACATCGTGCCTCACACTTATCCAAGGGTGTAAAGGATAAATTCTTATTGTTTATCACAATCATGGGATAAATTATCGCAGTCATAATCACTGCAGCACATATAACTATATCTCCAAACTAGGGAATTTAAAGGTTACATGTACTTAACGGAAGGACACACATTATCTATTGCTAGCATTATTTGCTAAACGAATTGTAAGTTTAAGCATCCAAGGCTGTAGCACATGAAGAGAAACTCAAACAAACACATCCAAAAACAATGTAACATTTACTTCATGTCAAGGATTAGAAAGGGGCAAAATAAGGTAAGCGGAAATTCCAGTATCCACATCACCAGAACAACAACTACCTTACAATGCTTTCTGAATACTTGAAAGACATGCTTGTCGCCAACAACAACCTCTGCGTGTTTTCTGATTAACATTACCCACTGAAATGAGATGGCAGATGGATTTAGAGTTAAGCTCTTAAACAAGTATGAAAAATCTACAGAAAAAAGGAAGCCATGCAATCACAAGAACCTGGGATCCTTTCCTCCATTTATCCTTTCGAATGACAGGAGACATGTTTGGATTATAACGCTTCTCTGTTTTGTCAGTGAAACTGAAGACAAAAAAACTCATTTTAGAAACTTCAGGCTTAAACACTGCATCTTCTATGGAAATTTGGGAAGTTGCAAAGTAACATATCGTAATTTTCCATTACCTATCCACAATACTTCTAGGTGAACCCATCAAGTAAGTATATGTGTAGCTGAAGTTGTACAAAGGAACACAACTGAAACAGAAATCGATGAAATGTTAAAATTTAAACTAGAAACTGCAGAGCTTCAAATAATCAATTGACGCTTGTAGTGACAAAGGGAAGCAAACCCAAACTACAATACGGAGACATGCATACTAAGGAATTAAAACAAAACTGTACAAAAGCTCTCTCAGCTTGGGCATGTATGCATGCTTCATACTTAGTATACAGTAAGTCAAGCAACGATTAATCCCTTGTGGAAGCACACACAAGGGAAACCAAGTAACAAGGAATCACAGAATGGCTCCATGACCCCAATAATTTTCCTACCACCATCTAGCAATTTCCGAGTAAAAAGGATGTTATCCCCACGGTGGTCCTCTGAATAAGCACCACAACAGAAACCAGAATGCCAAATTGCCATTACTAAATAGATATCCTACTAGAGTTCACATGTAAATTACTCTTATTAAATATCCAGTTATTTAATTGATCACTAGTGACAACTATACAGTTTAAGGCTTTAAGACCCTGTAACATTTATTATGATGAAAACCAGTAGTACATACCTATCCGACAGCAAAACAAATCGCTGGTTGGCGGGATCCTCAAGCGCGGCGGCGAACAACATCTTCTCCGCCTCTACCATGGTTGGTTCGCCCCACGCCACCTGCAGGACACAACCATATTTCCCCAACTCAAAATCGAACCCTGGACTCCGCGATCACAGATACGAAAAAGTCGGTAAGAGGGTCAACCTTGACGGCCCTCGCGAGTTGACGCCCGTAGAAGTACGGCGATCCGGTGGTGGTGCGGTCAAGGACGAAGCCCGGCGCGGAGTGCACGTATACGGAGAACCTCCCCTCCTCCCCATTCTGCCGAAACACGCACGCGACGATCATAACCAATCGAATAGACAGCCAAACGTAACGAATGGGGAGAGCCGCTGGGCGCTTACGCGGAAGAAGGCGTCCCAGAGGAAGTCGAGCGGCAGGCCGGCGCGGGCGAGGAAGAGGAAGGCCACCTTCCCCGGCCCCGCGGAGGGCGGCAGCGCGTCGAGCGGCGCGGCCGGGGGCTGGGTGCGGAGGAACGCGGCGACGAGGAGCAGGAAGGAGAGCGGCGCGGCGAGGCGGAGGCAGAGGCGGGCGCGCGCGCGGCGGCCGGCCGGGAGGGCCAGCGCCCACGGAGCGGGCGGCCTCTTCGCCACCGGCATCAGCGGGCGCGGCAGCTGCCCCGGCGCCGGCGTGGGCCGCGGTGGCATTTAAAATCGGAAGGGAGTTACAGTGGAAGGCAGCGTGGCGTTTCAGGCACGCGGGGCGGGGCGGGGCCGCGGCGGGGTCGGTGGAGGGCTGTGGAGACGGACGCGACGGCGTGGTGTGGTGTGCGGTGGGGGGGCCGTGTTACTTTTCGCCTTGCTTTGCTGAGCTTCTGGTGCGATTTTTCAGTCTCGTGACGCGCGCGAGCGCGGTGACTCTGTCTCTGTGGGGCGCGGCGGGGATGGGGTCGGGTGTTGGCGATCCGCGGCGTGGCGGACCTCGCGGTGGCCCAGCTGTAGGGGCGTT